TAATATATTTTTATCACCTATAATTTAGTGACTATACAAATAATTTATCATATTTTAGCTTAATTTCTAAATATTTTTGTCCAAGTTGATTATTGAACTTAAAATTTTGACTTAATTCTAGTTCTTATAATATGACACATCGAGAGGTTATTGCGTGACATCACGTTATATTATAAAAGGACTGAAATGAAAAAAAATGTTAAGTTCGTAAACTAATATGGAACAAAACAAAGTTTATGGACTAAATTGAGAAATTTGTCAGTGGATTAAAATTGTTTTATCCCATTATTATACGCCAATTTCCTTCAAGTCGTGAAAGTGATTTCACTCTAATAAAAAGGGTAAAATACACGCATTTAGACAGAAAAGGGGGGTAAAAGAAGCAAGGAATAATAATATGATTTCCACTGTATCCCATTCTCATAAGTAAAGTCGAAACGTTGTTAGCTGAAAGCAAGAAGCAGCCAAAAACGATTTTGGAATTCAACAGTTCCCTTAGGATATTAACACTATAAGACAAACCACTAAAGCATATTATAAAATGATTTTTGCATTGTTACTCAAAATAAATAAATAAATAAAATGATTTTGCAGTGAAAATTTATTAGGGGAATCTCTTTCCATCGTCCCGTCTGAAATAGTCTCATTGACCCCGCATTGACTAGGAACTTACCTCGAAGCTTTTTAGTCTCTTTTAGGATGGTAGAAAGGAGGAAAGAAGAAATGGGTTGCTTTGTTTTTGGCTTTTAATTGAGTCCCGTTTCTGCAAATTTCAAAGCAGGTGGATTCAGTGAGTTAAACAGAAACAACCATGGCTACGGCTAGTGATGATACGATATACGTTGCAGTAGGAGAATTTGAAGAAAGTGAGCTCACTTTGTTATGGGTTTTACACAATCTTAACCCTCGAAAACTTTGCATTCTTCATGTTCATCAGCCTTCCAGAGTGATCTCATCCAGTAAGAACTCACTGTTGATTTCCAATCGTTTCTTGGAGATTTTTTTTTTGCTGTATTTAATATGTTTTTCCCCCTTATGGAGTGTACGGAGTTGATGGGGATTTGGCTGAAATCATGTTTGATCAACGACAAATCAGTGATTTAGAGGAAGTTGGAAAGGAAATGATGAATCAGATCACGGATGAACACCTTCTTTTATGTAGTCAAGCAGGGGTACTATTTCTTCTGTAAACATATTTACTTTTATAATTTCTGGGTTAGGTATGTAAATTGTTTCCCATTATCAATTCCGAACATTGAATTTTTGTTGTTGAATGCATTGGAATATTCAAAAAAACTTGCCCTTTAGGCTTTATCCCCATAAGCACTTCTTCAATTTTGTTTAGGTCAGTGCCATAAGGCTACATATTCTGATGGATGATGTTGCAAAGGGGATTCTGGAACTGATTCGTAGGCACAATATCAAGAAGCTAGTGATGGGAGCCGCGGCCGATGAGCGCTTCACAGAGTACAAATACCCTAATTATTGAAATGTTCTCAGTTCCCTTAACATTCACCATCTTACTTATTTTCTTCTCTCATCTGCTGGGCTTGACTAGGGGAATGTGGATGATGTCTGTGAAAGCACAATACCTGAACGAAAACGCACCACTTTCTTGTCAAATTTGGTTCATTTGCAGGGAGCACCTCGTACATACAAGGTAATGCTTGGTGATCGCCAGAATCTTGATTTTAAATTGTGTCTTACCTTTTGAAACTTTTCATATGCAGATTTTGAGCTAATTGGTGTAAGTTTCTCTCAGTCTTCAGTAAATTGTGACAAATGGCATTACACATTCCAACTGCTTCCATTATATTGACTTCAAGGTATTCAGTGCAGGTTTGAAACCGGCAATCATCAAACGCATTAAGTCCATCTGCTTCTAGTTATTTGACAAGCTCTAGTGAAGCTGCTGGTATTTTAGATTCAGCTGTGTTCGACGAAAGAGACGAGAGTGAATGCGAGCCCGAGCTGTATGAAATGCTTGGCTCTGGAGAGGTTTGTGATTCATTTATCCAATGCCCCAATATACTGGAATACTATATAGTACAGTAGGAATTCATCTGCCATAAAAGCTACATGTTGAGAATGACGTATTTTCCAATCACTATAGCTTAGTTTTGAACTGGAACTTAGAAAATGACGTATTTTCAAATTTGAACTGATTGTTGCTGATGTTTCTAATGGTTCATGGCTTTTTGGCAGGAAGGAAGTAGTAATGATCAACTATTTGATCAGCTTGAACAAGCGCTGCAGGAAGCTGAATCATCAAATCGAAAAGCATTTGAAGAGTCCGACAAGCGTGTGAAAGCTGAAATGAATGCCACCCGAGCTATGCGCCAAGTAATGTCTTCTGCAGTTCAGGCCTTGGTTTCCCTCTTTTATGGAGTTTCAAATTCAGCCTTGTAATGGTTACTAATCCTGACCTTTTTTTGCAGGTGAAAACATTTGAAAGGCTGTACAATGAATGCAAGAGAGAAAAGGAGACAACACTTACAAAACAGAAGGAGAGCATTGAAAAGATAAAGAGGCTGAGAGAAGAAGAGCATTCAGTTTCCAGGGAGCAAATGTCTATATTGGAGAGCCAAGTCGCCAACTCAGATTCCAGGATGAAACAATTAGAAGATGAATTAGCTTCAGCTATGGAGCAGTTACAGGTTTCTCTGAAAGAACGAGACGAGTTGCAAATTGAGCTCCAAAATAGTCGTAAAGTGATTGATGAGCTTTTGAGAAAACAAGCAGAAGAGACCTCAAGCACACATATGAACCAATTCAATCTGGACCTGTTGTCTTTATCAGAGATTAATGATGCTACTTTGAATCGGTTACAGATTGTCCAGAAAGAAAAAGATGAGTTGCAGGTCAAGCTCGAAAATACTTGTAGGATTAACAAAGAGCTTTTAAGAAAACAATCCGAAGATACCTCAAGCTCTCATTTGCAGCAACACTTAATAGAGTTCTCTCTGTCAGAGATTGAGGAAGCAACTGAGGGCTTTTACCAATTGTATAAGATAGCAAAAGGAGCTCGGGGTAATGTATATTATAAATGTGTCCTGCGTCACACTGAAGTAGCTGTAAAGGTGCTGGGCCAAAGTAGCTTTCAAGATCCCTTTGAATTCCAACAGGAGGTAAGGAACCAAACCTAAAGTCACATTCTTTTGGCATTTTAAATTTATCTATGTTGTTCTGTAAGTTTGAAGGCTAACACTCGACTATCGAGAGTACATATTTTAGAACCAAAGATGTGATAACCTGAAATAGAGTATGCTCTCTTGTATTTCAGGTTGATGATATGATTAAACCGAGGCATCCGAACCTAGTAACTATAATCGGAGCCTGCCCTGGGAGAAGGGCTTTAATCTATGAATATGTTCCTAATGGAAGTCTTGAAGATCATTTGAACTGCAGGAACGACATTCCTCCACTGTCATGGCAATCTCGGTTGCATATAGCTACTCAGCTTTGTTCTACTCTAATGTTTTTACATTCTGGTAAAGTAGTGCATGGCAACTTAAAACCTAGGAATATTCTTCTTGATGAAAACTTTGGCTGCAAACTTACAGACTTCGGAATTCATCATGCACTTTGTCTTTTGGAAAACTCAAACAACACGACAGAATCAAGCAATGCTAATTCTTACCTTGATCCCGATTTTCGTAGTACAAGAATAGTATCTCACAGTTTGGACTTGTACCCTTTTGGCGTTATAGTATTACAATTACTTGGTGGGAGATCAACTCAGGGTATAGCTGAGACTGCACAAAACGCGCTATTAAATGGTGGAAATCTGAGTTCCTTCTTGGATTCTTCAGCTGGAAATTGGCCACATCAAGTTGCTCAGTTGACTCACTTGGCTATAAGATGCTGTGATATAAACCGAAGCCGGAGACCTGATCTTGCTTCTGAAGTTTTCAAGGTACTTGAAACAATGAAACCTTCTGGAGCCTCGATATCACATGTTGCAGACTCCAAAGAAGATAATCTCGAACCTCCATCTTATTTCATTTGTCCCATTTTACAGGTTAGCTCCAAATTTTCCTTCAGCGTTTTGAAAATCTCTCTTTTAGGTGGATTAGATTTGAATTCAATGAATCACAGTTTTGTAATTCATATGATGATGTTGGGTTGCAGGGAGTTATGACTGATCCACATGTGGCAGCCGATGGTTATACGTACGAAGCATCGGCATTGCAGGATTGGCTGGCTGATCATGATACTTCCCCTATGACAAACCTCAGGCTTCCACATCTCGATCTTATCCCTAACTTCCCTCTTCGTTCTGCCATTCAGCAATGGCAGCAAAATCATTGATACGGTTTCTTGTTCCTGGAACATCTTTGACCATGTTGTTCTTTTTTTAACCGCCTCTTCCATGTTTATATATATAGCAAAGGGTGTAATACTATATGAGTCCTATATTCTGTTTGCATATATATTCAGAAACCCAATATAATTACATAGCAAAGCAATATATCTGCAATTGTAAAACCGAAATCTAAGCTAAATTTTAACTTCAATTTTGAAGTTGAATTAGCGTATTGAAACGAATACTTAAAACGATATTATTGTAATGATTATGGACAAGTCGATGCGACATATGGGCATGGGTTGGGTCAAATTTCTGACCAATCCACTGTGAAAAATATATATTCCACTGGAAATCCGTCCCATATTGAGTTTAGCATTATTTCACTCAAATCTGACCCATCTTTTAAGACAAAGTCCACACGACTGACACATATCTACATAAAAAAAATTTAGTTTTATTTGATAAAATATGAATCTAAATAATTATCCCTACATTATATTGTTTTTGAGTTGGGTAGGGTTAAATATTTTTAACCCTAAACCCCAAATTGAATTCATATATATATATATTTTGAAAAAAGACTTGATAAGAACGGGTCAAAATACCCCTTGTCCAGTCCTAAACATCACTCGGAAAATTCACGCAAAATATCATCACACAGAACGACGCTATTTACGCAGGTTTTATGGTAAATCTCGAACTCATCAGTTACTTTGTGATCATCTAATCACAGGGTTTTACAATCAACTGTAAATTTATAAATAATTAGCTGAACTGGATTAAAAGCTATCTGTTACAGGTCAATTTCTACAGTGTTATCAATGCTGCAAATATTACATGCTTCTCTACAACCTACAAGGGTAAAACCTTCTCAGCTGATTTATGTACTAATAGCCAAAACTGGCATACAGTTTGAGGTACTTATTTTTCTCATGGTTTATTACCATTATTCCTTTTGTTGTAAGGGCCGAAGTTGCATATGCGGGCAAGGTCTTTCCGGTTCTCCTCTTGTCCACAGAGTTTCAAGATCACCTCTCTTCTTTCCCAATGTAATAAAGGTGCCTGCAACCAAGCAACAGATACATGGTAAGAGAAACGATGAAAAAGATGACATTTTGTCCGGGTTTAGGAGCCGGCGATATACGTTAAAGCATCCGCACCTGTTCTTAATCTCACAACCACTTACCAAGAGTGAAAGGAACGATGTAAAGCAAAGCAGGTTGCCCATGTCCATCCATCAGGTTCAAGGCGACATACGTGACCAGAAGACCTGTTGAATTAATTTAAGGAACATCGTTTTCGTGCTCATTGGATTACAGGAGTAAGTAAGCTCAGAAGGTCAGGCTCAAGCAATATCTTTCTCTGTTAACAGTCATTAGAGGCTAAGTTGGATTAAAAACGAAATAAATTCAAGCTTGGCTTGGTTCCATCATAGTCCCCATACATATCAACAGGATGGCTCAGCAAATTAGAATTTCTCGTACCTACACCATAGGCAGTCATTGCCCATACAAAGTATCCTGCTCGAAGATTCTTCTTTGCTAGCCAATCATATCTGCAAAATTCATCAATAGTGTCTGTTGATAAGCAGACTAAACATCAGAAACCGAACACTTTGTTCGGAACAAACCTAGCTGATGAAACATGACATCTAAGAATAACAACGATTCTTTTAATGAGATAAGTTGATTCATTATTAAAAGATTGTATGTTTTATTCCATTAATGTGCACATGTTTCGTTTCCTTTGTAATATTTTATTTTGTGCAATAGAATATCGTTGTTTAATCTGCATCCCACGCGATCACATCGTAAACAATCTTTTTTTATAAAATTTAAGTGAAAATGAAAGAATATTTGTATAAAAATTTTCAGTTATATAACAATCGAGGCTTATATCTTTATATAAAAGATGTCTAGAACTTATATATCAAGGGATAACGATAAATCTCTTAATCATAGAGATAAAGTCATAAATACAAGGATAAAGTACATAAATGAACCCTAACTATAAAGTATTACTTTGTTAAATGTCTTAATCATTAAAAGTTATAAAATGATCTTATGATTATAGGATTTTTTTATTGAGTTCTCTGACTATTAAAAGTTGTAAAATGGTCATTTTACTATTCACATGTTTCAAACTCGTCATTTTCTATTAAAAAATTGACGATCGTCTGATTTAAACATTAACTTGTTGACTAAGATATGATAAAATTTGATCCATAATCGTTTAAGTTATGTTTTGTGAATCTACTCTTCATTTACATAATGTCGTCGAGTCAGTTTTTAAAACATTATGTCGTCGAGCTAGTGCTTGAATGCAACGGTGGTGTCAATAGACATTATTAAAATATAATTTTATCATATTACAATCAACATGGTAACATCAAACTCAAACGATTGTCCATATTTTTTATTGGAAAATGACAAATTTTGAAATGTATAAATTGTCGGGTGATCATTTTAACTTTTAATAGTCGAGAGATTCGATAAAACAACGATCTATAGTCATTATATTATTTTGTAACTTTTAATAGCTGAGAAATTAAACAAAATATTATTTTATAGTTGGAGGAATATTTGTGTATTTTACCCTAAATATAAAACAAGAGAACTATGATGGGCAAATTTTTATTCTCTCAGGAGGTAGGTCGCTGATTCTACCGACCAAGTTCCACCATCAAATGGTATAATATCAATAAATATTAATATAATAATAAAATCTAGTTTCAAATATGAAAATTATATTAGCTCTGATTTAATTTTTTTCTTATTTTTACGGTAATAACATTTTCCACTTGTAATGACAAGAATATTCCACGCATGATTTTCATAATAAAAAAATTATTAAAAAGTTGCATCACTTTTCCGGCGGACTATTCACTTTTTTTTGTCGGAAAGCAGCAATGGGTGGGCCCTTCTAGTTAAAGCACGGTTTAGATTCGTTATCTTAAATCCCAAAACACTCATCTTAATCCCATTTATTTACCATCCCTTCTAAGCAGGCCCTGCAGTAATTTTGAATCGAACAGAGGGGTATTTCTGGACCTTCAGTCTCGGAGAGGGTGATATGCCACGTGTTTCTTTCTGGACCCTCTTTTGCTTCGGCATATGGAAACCACTCAGATTTTTCCCGCTTTGGAGAAAATAAATAAAAAGAAAACTCCTGGGCAAATATCTGTTTATCCGTTCCAGCGTTGAGGGAGGACGTTGGTGCAGAGAGCTAAAAGCGGTGTCGTGTCATAGAGTTTTCGAGCTCTTGTTTTGAACTGAAATGGTATAATTTAGTTCTCTAAAATCAAGCTGATTGATTCTCTGTACAACTCGCACTTCAGCAATGGCTATCGGCGGTCTGGTTTCCAACCGGAGTTTCGGTTCTTTTATTGGTTCAGGTATTTATTTAATTCATTTTTCTTGGGGATTTAAACTTCCATCCCCACAAATTTTTTGCCCATGGTTACATTCTGTTAAACAGTCTCTTTGGTTTGAAGCTTACTTTGAATTGGATAAGAGAGCTTGGATTTCTTGGAATAACGAAGTTCGATGAAATTTAGTCGAAAATTTGATTGCATGCTGTATTACTATTCAATTTTGTATTTCAAAAGTGTGGATAAATGATGTTGCTATTTTGGATGATTTTATTTTACTGCTGAATTTGGTAACTAAGTGATAAATGGTTTCAATCGAGGGATGGGGAAAATATAAAATTCATTACTGGTCATAAGCTTTGGGGAAATCTCCTTGTCTTTCTAGGTCCCCCTAGACGTGTGTATTGTATGCAATACCTTGGGTTTTAATTAATTCGTTTCTTCCATTTGGAGATTTCCTCTTTAGGTTCATTGCAGTATCTCTGTAATTTGTAGTTTAACTGTGATAATGGCAGGTAAAGTATGTCGAGGGGAGCAAGCTGTCTCGCTTCACAGGGGAGACAGATCAGGCATTGCTTTTGTGCATGGGAACATGTTTTACCGAAAATTATGGGGTCAAAATGCCAATGGTTTTTTAACTGGATACACATGTGGCCAATTCCTCCGGAACACTGTCCATTTAGATGAGAACACTTTGTAACCTCTATCAATATCACCTAATGGCAGACGACTTATTTCTTCGATGTCACCGTGCCACTGTGATAAGTCTCACAAAGTTCATCCTCAACAAAGATGTAGACGAAGATTTGGATGCTATTCTCTTCAAAGTTCATTGCCTGGAGGTTGGCTCGAGCCAAGTGACAAGGATAGAATAGGAAAAAGGGGGACTTGCGCTTACTAGAAATCTGATGAGTTTGACATAACAGAAGTGAATGTGGACTCTTTGCCATCTGCAGATGGAACAACGAAGCTGTTCTAGTTGGGGGAGACATGCAGGAATCAGCCCCTATGTGGCAAAATTTTCCAAAGCGCTGGGTTATGGTGCTGCTTTGTTTTGCAGCATTCCTGTTATGCAATTTGGACCGTGTGAGTAGTTTTCTTCGTGAGCAGTAGCACTGCAATAATTTTCTATATGTGTGCTGACTGAGCTGTGTTCTATATATGCATTTTGCAGGTCAACATGAGCATTGCAATACTCCCCATGTCAAAAGAGTTTAACTGGAACAGTGCAACAGTTGGTTTGATTCAATCCTCTTTCTTCTGGGGCTACCTGCTCACTCAGGTCTGTTTCAAATTTATTAAAAATGCACAATTATTTGTTTCCATTGAGGATGTCCATATACCGGCATATAATGTGTTTACCTTCTAGTATTCTTGATGCATATTCTTTTTTTTCTTTTGAAAGAATTCCTGATGCATATTCAAATCTTCTACTTTGATCCTCAGCTAAACATGTATGTAGTTTTCAAATCAGTGTTTGCTGATACTAGAAATTCACCTATTTTGTTAATCTTATATTTTCTTTCAACATTCAGATTCTCGGAGGCATATGGGCTGATAAAATTGGTGGGAAGCTAGTCCTGGGCTTTGGAGTTATCTGGTGGTCGACAGCTACTATTTTGACACCTATTGCTGCAAGAATAGGACTTCCATTTTTGCTAATTGTGCGTGCTTTTATGGGAATTGGCGAGGTTGGTTGTGCTTTGCTTGCTAGTTTTTAATATCCTGTAGTGGCCTGTGATTAACTACCTACCTATGTCCAAAATTCACGTACTTAGTGAAGCAGCCTTCTCTTCCTGTGCAAACAGTCTAAGAAAGTTGAACTTGTTATATATTTTTTTATTGTTAATTAAATTATCAGTTGGAACAAGATGAAAGCATGAGAGGAAAAAGGTAAACTCTTCAACATTAATGGATTGGAGGTTTCTACTATTTTAACTCCATACGCATTAGAGATTTCAACAGTTCCCTACATTCCTAGAAAGAGAGTGCAAAGGAATAAGGATACTCATCTGATTGCACTATTTTCTTTGAAGGGTGTGGCTATGCCTGCAATGAACAACCTACTTTCAAAGTGGATTCCAGTGTCAGAGAGAAGTAGATCACTTGCACTTGTGTACAGTGGCATGTATCTTGGTTCTGTTTTTGGGCTGGCTTTCTCTCCTATCTTAATCAGCAAGTTTGGTTGGCCATCTGTATTTTACTCATTTGGCTCCCTTGGAGGCATCTGGTTTGCGTTATGGCTGAGAAAAGTGAGTTGCTGATTCCTTTAGCTTTTATTCAAAATATATCAAAAGAATCAACAGAAACCTCTACTCTTGGAACTCACCATTATTGCTAAAATATTTGGCTGCCAATGTTACATTTTCACAATGCACTCCGAACAAGTAGTTTTGGATATTCTTATAAAAGAAGTAACTGAAAATTCTTCCTGCACTTTTTCTGGTTGCTTCTCAGGCTTATAGCTCCCCAAAGGAAGACCCAGAGCTTAGTAAAGAGAAAAAACAACTAATCATGGGAGGCAGCATATCCAGGGAACCTGTCAAGGTCATTCCATGGCGATTAATATTGTCAAAAGCCCCTGTTTGGGCTCTCATAATTTCTCACTTCTGCCATAACTGGGGAACTTTTATTCTCTTGACATGGATGCCTACATACTACAATCAGATATTTGAAATATGCTCCAATGGAGAATGTCAACTCTACAATTGACATCGACTCCAATACATGCTTTTTCATTTGCTTCACTTTTTTGGCTTGCATTTGCGATATTCTTTTTCCGAATATCAGATATTGGCTCTGACTTGTATTAAGGTAAAGAGAATTAGCAGACTTTTCCAAGCACTTATTGTGTTGCTAGGTATCCAGCTTGAGTGTATACAGATCCCCACCCCTGTGCAGGCCTTGTTGCTACTGCAGTCTAGGCCTTGTTACTGATTATTAATTACTGAATTTCTCAATACCGTTGACCTTTTACAAATCCAAGCTAGCAGTCTGAAATTATTTACGAGTCTTGATTTTGCATTCTCATTTACTTTGATACCCAACATTATGGTGGTTCATACAGGTTTTGAAGTTCAATCTCACGGAATCTGGACTCCTCTGTGTATTGCCATGGTTGACTATGGCTGCCTTTGCAAATATAGGAGGATGGATCGCAGATACACTAGTGAGCAAAGGTCTTTCTGTAACATCAGTTCGTAAGGCAAGGATTGATTCTTTGGTTCTTAGAACTTGATTT